GTTTGTATATATATATAGACATATATATATAAAAGTGCTTCTTTTATTTACGTATGTTTTTCCTATACTAGTACATAAAGTATGAGTACATATGTAAAAATAGATTGTATACGTGCATGTATGCATGTAGTATGTATCTATTTATGCCTAAATGTATATACATATATTAATACAGATACTCGTACCTGTCTACATTTTATCCCCATCACCTCAGAGACGCCAAGTATGCCAACATGGGGCAGGTCCAGAAGTACAAGATGATTGTCGACTACCGTGCGAAGAAAGGCTGGGGTGACGAGTCCGCGAGGGCGTATGTAGCGGCTTTGGACAAACACAATGACAGGCACATGCTTGAGTTGGATCTCAGCGATGTGATGCTTGATCTGGGCGCTATCACGGTGTGTCGTGTGGTATAGTTGAGGTGCATGTGTGCATGTATAGGGATGGGTATATGTACCAGAGAATCTATAAATAGATATATCTACCACTTTTTTAACAGTTCTTATGAATCTATCACTAGATTCGCCTATACCACCCACGCACAGGTATACCTTGGCAACCAGCCCGTCTCCCGAACCGTATAGTTTTGTAGCTGCAAAGGTCTAGTAAAACATAGTCATTAATCTGCATTATATCACCATATCTATCCTATCTCTCATGTGCGAGAGATACCTACCAATCTATTAATCGATATCCCCAACCCCACCCGTCAGGTGCACCTGCGCAACAAACCCGCCTCGTGGATCATGGACTTCCGTAAGTGCAAAGGCCTGGAGGCTCTCACAGCCGTTATCATTAAACTGTACCACATCATGTCCCAAAACATCGGTGAACTGGACTCGGTGGTGATTGCTGAGACTATGCACCAGGCGGTGAGGAGTGTCAGCATGTACATGCGCATTCCCGAAAGCTTTGACGATGCCGCACGCAATACTAACCTGCTTAAGGTATGAATGTTGGTGCCAGAATTGCTATGTGTGTATGCGGGTGTAGTGAATACTTA